GTGTGTGTGTGTGTGTGTGTGTGTGTGTGTGTGTGTGTGTGTGTGTGTGTGTGTGATATATATGTGTGTGTGTGTGTGTGTGTATGATATATATGTATGTGTGTATGTGTGTGCATATGTTTATGTGTGTATGAGACAAATAAGTACATTTTCACTGTGTTCATAAGAGTTTATTCCCAGTAAAAGTCACTTTTTAAATGAATGCCTGCAAGGCCACTGTATCGACTCATCCCTTCTCCCTGCTCTTATTTTCATTTCCCATACTACCTTTTTGCAGGAGTAGCAATACTGTGCAAATTGCTTCTCATAACAGGGTACACAGTAATTGTCATCATCCTTGGTAATCAAAGGTTTCATTCCTAGTGGTTGCCGGCAATACTGGCAAACAAAGCAAGTTTCATGCCAACAATTGCCTTTAAATTCCATTTTACGAGAACCTGCAAATGGAATTGTAATCCCAGTTACTTTTCTGGCAAATAACTGTTTTTATTATTATTATTATTTTCACTGAATGCACTGAAACAAAGATATAGTACAGGTAGTCCTCAACGTACGACTACAATTGGTCCCAAAATGTATGTTGCTAAGTGAGAAATTTGTTGTGAGTTTTGCCCCATTTTGCAACTTTTCTTGCCACATTTGTTAAGTGAATCACTGCAGTTGTTAAGTTAGTAACACGGTCATTAAGTAAGTAAATTTGGTTTCCCCATTGACTCTGCTTGTCAGAAGATTATAAAAATGACCCCAGGATATTGCAATTGTCCTAAATATAAACTAGTTGCCAAGCATCTGAATTTTGATCACATGACCATGGAGATTCTGCAACCGTCATAAGTGTGAAAAATGGTCATGTCACTTTTTTCAGTGCCGTTGTAACTTTGAATGGTTACTAAGGGAACTGTTGTAAATTGAGGATTACCTGTCCTGTACTGAGGTACTCTTTTTTTTTTTACCAGTTGCATATAGCACCACATCACAAAGGGCACAAATTTGTCAATAAACACACTCTGTCAAGTTTTCTTTTGCACTATAAAGCTTTTTACAAACTAATCACAGGATATACAAATAACTTGTTGATATGAGTGCCCTACAGTTTATGAAGTTTGCTTCAACATATTTCTAGTAACTTTCTTTTAAATTTCTTTAGTTGACAGATTCCCAAGTCTGTATCCATTTTTCTCTCTCTCTTTTATCACCTGTGGATCTCTCTCTCTCCTCCGTCGTGTATATCTATACCTATATCATCTATCTTTCATCTATCTATCTATCTATCTATCTATCTATCTATCTATCTATCTATCTATCTATCATCTCCTATCTCTCTCATCTAGCTGTCTGTCTGTCTGTCTCTCCATTCTCTCTCTCTCTCTCCATTCTCTCTCTCTCTCTCTCTCTCTCTCTCTCTCTCTCTCTCTCTCTCTC